TATATATATATATATATATATATATATATATAAATATTAAAATAGATGAATGTATATATGCATAAACAAATATAAAGTTCTTGTTGTAGGTTTTGGTTCTTTGTTAAAAACAAAAATTAAGGAGTATACAGTTTTTCTAAAACTACAGCCAGTAAAAAACGCAGCATATGTGATAGAAGCACAGCAGCAGTGTTTGTTTTGCCATTTTTACACGAACCTGGTAATAAGGCATGTCTGTACATTAAACAAACAAGAATAATTATTAATCCATGTTTATTTTCAAATCAACACTTTAACGTTCACTTGTATCTAAGGAAGGCTGGGGAGGTAAAAAAGATTAAGGGGTGGAATTATGATAAGTTACAGCTCATGAGGTACTCCATCAGAGCATCTCTGACACCTCGGCCCTGCTCTCCATCTTGTGGGACAGCGACCAGGACGGGCTGTGCGGCTGGTTCTGCTTCAAGTTCATCGACGTCATCCATTTTGGTTGTGTGTTGTTTTCCAGCTCTTCTTCTAATACATGTTAGTGGTGCTTAGAAAAGAGCTTAATGTAGCACTACCGCCACCAGGTGGTAAGGTGCGTTGATATTAATAATCCGCCCACTAGAGGTGAACAATACGCCCACTAAATGGGAACTATAGGCAAAGTGGAGACACAAAAATAGAGGTCCCACTAGAACCGGACACAACAGGCTACAACAAGAACCAGACCTGTGGATACCAGGCTTAAGCGTAACTTTCCCTCGGTACCCCCCCCCCCCCCCCCCCCCCAGCCCAACCCGGCGGAAGGGTTTGGAACGAAGTTGTCCAGGTTGGACCGGCATCCTGTCCCTCCCGGGAAATATGACCAGACGGTAACATCGCTCTCCAATCGAGCTCACCAGTGTGCATCCAGGAGGCCGCAGCAAACAACAACGTGGCGCTGTTGGCGTACAGCGTTTCAAGGAGGCTGGAGGACGCAGATCTGCCTGAGGAGACGAAGAGCTCCCTCTGCTAGGCGTCTGACGTCATCCTCAACCTGAGTGCCTCATCTGCTGTCTGCCTGTCCCGGATCGCAGCTTGGATGACAATGATTCAGAGGTCCACCTGGCTCAGTCACTCCCCCTCCCTGCCGGAGAAACTGCATAAAGACCTGATGGAGGGCCCCATTACGACGGACGCGCTGTTCGGGACCAATTTCAAGGCCATGCTGGAAAAATCGAAGAAGTCGGAGGAGGTGTCAGAGACTGTGCGCCATCTCATCAAGCCGCACGCCTCATCCCGAACCCCGGCCCGCTGGAAGGATCGCCGTGGCCAAAGACAACAACAGCGACGTTCCACAGCTGTA